CTATCTTTCACTAGGGTGAAATTAAATTTATTTCATGCTGGATAGCCAATATGGTACTGAATTTCTAGTCAGGTAAACAATGACATTTTCCCACAAGCAAGAACAAGCCTAAAAAAACCTATCACCATCCACATCTCTCCCCCTGACCCCTTTGGCACGTAAAAGAACATTGCAATTTACTATATTTGTAGGGGAATACAGATTTTCCTGAAAAAAAAAAAAAGGTGTGTCTCTGACCATGTTTCCAATAAAAAAAGTCAGACATCATCTTATTATAATGAATTTCCCCTAAATCTGAAACACTTTAAACCCAAAATTATTTCCATATACCATCAATCGTTAATATAAAATCTACTTAACAAGTCCATTCTAATATACTGAGTTCAGACAAGTACATTATAAAATGCAGATTAAAAGAGCACTTCAAAGGTAGGAATGGGTCAGATAAATAAAGATAGCACAATCATATGATTTCAATACACCCTCCAAAAATGATCAGCAAATGTAGATCGTGAAGAGACTCTGAGCCCTGCTGTCTTTTCCTCTAACAAGTTTAAAATCATGTCCTCGTGCAACAGTAAACACAGTATTGCACTGCTGTCAAAAGTGATAACACATTAGGATTATTATTACACAATACATATATCATTATCAGAAAGAATAGGACTGGGTTTTACTGTTGCACATTCCAATCATTTTAATGGCACGAATCTTGAGACACCCATCCCAATTTATGCACTCTGGTTCCTCATAAAGTAATGAGTTACCTGTCTGTGTACTCCTGACTAAGAAAATTCTGTCTGCTCTCTCGCAAGTCTCCACTTATCCCATAGATTCTCTGGTAGTAAGTCTGGCTTATGTCCTGCTCCATGGTTAAGTTGACCCCTATGACTACTGGACTAGTTGAATTGTTAGGAAAGAAATGCAACGCAACCTTGTTTTTTTAACATGGACTATTTCAGTGATCTTATGCACAGTCTCCATGCACGATATTTTTTTCAGGACTGAGTGGGCTGCGAAGTGCAGAATGGTGTAGGAAAGAACAGCCAGAAACTTGTGAAGTCAGCTCTGCTGCTGAAGAAACTGTAACAAAAGCTGCTCACTGGGAGAAGAGGCAGAAGCAATGTAAGCCATAGCTAAGAGAAATATCCTTTTTTAAAAAAAAAAATCTATAAAAAAGGACATGAAAAGTTCATAAAATTTCCAATTATTGGAAATCTTAGAAAGAAAAATCCTCAACATTCTCAGTTGAGACACTTTGCCACAGTCTGAGGCACGGTCTTTTCAAGGACAATGCTGAAGTGAGTTTTCAGGATTTCTTTGTTTGTCTCTGCCCCTTCAGAAGCTGGCCTTGGCCAAAAGGTCACTCCTGTGGGATGGGGGAATCTGAGAAGCTTGGACTTTATTGCTCTAGAATACACCTGGTGCAGAAGGCTCATTTCTCATCCACCATAAATAAACTCAGAATTACTAAGAGACACACCATTAACTCAAAATTTTATGTAGCAGCTGGGGAATCTGCTGAGAATATACTCATCAGTTGAGGTCTATTTTATGACCTCTGATGTAACTCAAACCATCAGTTCATATTGGCTCGGCCTTTCGCTGACAGGGACCATGTCACGTATCCCACAGGGCGGCTGGAAGCCACCAGCGGACAATGGGGCGAGCGGCTGACACCGGCCACCGGGGCCCAGGCAGAACAATGCAGCTGCTGCGGAGGTTGGCCCTGCTGAAGGAAACTCGCTTCTCCCAGGTTGTCTAAGGGGAGGGACACTGAAGCAATGGAAATTCCCCAGCAGCAAAGGAGAACAAAAGAAGAGGTGTTGGAAGCTGCTGTAAAAAGAGACAGGCTCTCTCTCCAAACCCGCTGGCTGCCAGACTTGGACAGCTTCTTCCAGGGCCTGAAAGAGGAGAGGAGGGTCCCCTGGCTGATACAAACCCACTCTGTTCTTCAGGACACAATCCCTTATGAAGCGTAGATTAAAAACTACTCCCTTTAAGAGGACCAGAGCTTTACAGCTCCCCACTATTCCCCACAGGAGCATAGGGTTGAGTGCACAGCCCTTGTCAAGGGACCTGCTCTGGCCAGGGGTGCCCCAGGACCCAGCAGAGCCCCCCACACTAGAATCCACCACCAGATACCCCACTACCCTGCAGCTGGGACCTGGGCTCCACCCCACTCCCTTGTTTTTGCATGGATCTGGAATTCTCTAGATTTCCTCCCCTGATTAAAAGGTGTGGCTGCTGAAGAAATTAGTTTACAGAGCCTCCAAATTCCTTACTGCCGTTGTCATTTGTCTGCAACAGGAGTATCTGTGAGGCCAGGGCGCGGGAAGAGTGTGCTGGGCCACGGCTGGGGCTCGGCACTGCTCTGGGACCACCGAACCCCCCTTACTAGCAGGAATAACTCCGCAAGGACTCCGCACCTGGAGAGGAAACTTGAGGAGTAATCCATATATGCTAGATTAAAATATCTGGTAAAAAATCCTTCAAACCCACACATATCCTTCCCTAGGAAAAAAAAAATGTTTAAAATAAAACCTGTGATTTTACAGCTTACTTTTTTTAGTAGTACAGCCTAAAAATGGGTGTTTTTACTGAAACAAAGGGAAAAGTTACATTGATTTAGAAATTTATTTAAATGCCACAAAAAAAAGAGCAGTGGCTAAATAGTCCGTTGACTGCCATGGCTTTTGGATCAGACCCAGAAGAACGCTGGAATAAGTGTTGAAACATTTTATTTTCTAACCTTTTAGGGGCTACTGCAAACAATGGAAAATACAAGCACATACTTAGAATAACTCTATCCTTCGCAAAATGAGATCACACCTAAAAATACTTCCTTTTGTTGCTGTAGAACTTCAGTTTATGATAATAGCTATTACATGCATATAGTGAAGAGGAAAAAATATTTCCCCAAATCCTGGGTAAAAATTTGATATTGCATAGTAGAGTTTCTTCTACAGAAGAAACTTTAAAATCCATAATGATTCAGACTATTTGTGAAATAGTAGAATGCAAAATCCAATGCATTGCATGGGCAACATGAAATAAGGTAGTAAAAAGGTCAGGGGGTTGAGTTACTAAATTATTGCTTGTACCTAGGAAAAACTACATGATGATGATAATTCTTTGTATAAAACTTATATCAAGTATTAAGAAACAACAGAAAACTGTATCTGAATTTTAGGTTTTCAGTTTGAAACAATTAGCGCTATTATTTATATCCCCACACATAAACTCACATAGCTTGAATTTCCTGGGATATACATGTGCTATTAATTTTTAACTTTGCTCTAGGATCCAAGCCTGAATTACCAAGCCCTATCACACTTTCTAGTGCAAGGGTGTGTTTTGTCTGCTTGTACCAGAGGCTTTTCCAGTGTCCTTCTCAACATGCCAAGGTATTTTTCAGGACTTTTAAGACCATCTCCTACACTTAAATTTCCTCAGCAACTTCCAATGCAGCTGACTTTCACAGCTGTGCTGCTGTGCTACAGATTCCATCATTGTTTGACCAGAGAAAAGAGTGCTGGTTAAACTAAAATCTCCATTTAGAGTGATTTTCTACAATGTTGTATCAGTTCCCTGCTGAGTAGCAGAGATCTAACAGTGAACAATATTTCTGTAATCCGAAAAAGAGTAAATTTTTATAGAATAGATCAGCACTGACCTTCTTAAGAGAAGAGCATTTTCTTACAGTTTCCTCAACTCCATTATATATAGAATTGGTTTGTATTTTAATTCTAAAACCCATTAAGATTAATTTCAAAGTGTGCAATCCCCTCAAAACATAGAAAAACGGAGAAGAGCAGTGTAAAGTTGCTGCAGGAGCAGAAATACATCCAATTGCTTTAGGGAGCCCAGAGACGACCCTGTTCCCTTCTCTGCCAGTGGGAATTTTACCATTGACTCCAGTGAATGCACAGCCAAGCTAGCAATTTTCTAACACTTGAAGACAATTATTTTTATTTTAAAGTGCAGGAATAGCCTCTTGCTCTGGTCCAGTTCTCAGCCTGAGGCTGTAGCTCTGCCAGCACTGTTAATGTCATTGTTTGTCAAGCATATTTCCAGTCTTGCGTACACCCACGCGGAGCTCCCAGCTTCCAGCCGTGATGTCCCCCCCAATGCATTGTTCCAGCTCCCCCTGCTTCCTCGCCTCCCTCCCTGTCCCCCCACCATTGTTATCCCCCTACACCCACCCTGCATTGTTCTCACGCTCGCCTGCCATCTCCACCTGGGAGGGACCCTTCCTCCCTCCCACTCCTTGCAGCAGCAGCTCAGGCTCCTTTCTTACCTACTTCCATATATTCCGCTGACCTATTGGCATCAAAGCATTCTCCCTTTCTGAAAGCACATTACATAAAGTACCATTACCAGATCTCACAGCTTCTGTGAGCAGTGGGTGCTCTGCTTTGAGAAGTCCAGTCCAAAGTCTTTTAAAGAACAAGAAGATTCTTATTTCATTGCTACAGACTTTCAATCAGGCCCACAATTAGTGTTACTGCATTTTCAGATAGCGTATAAAAGGCTAGAGTAAAAATATGTTGTCACTACAAAACAGAAATATGTAACAAGACAGACACACAGGGATCAATACTATTACATTTTCACCATATATATGTACAGAAACAACTGGCATGATTTACACAAGCTCCATTATTTTGGCTACTTTGCTTTTTACTGCTCTCTATTTTAATTTTTATGTACTTACTATTTTTTCTTTACTATTTTTTTACGATATTTCACTTTCTGAAGTACTGTGGTACTTTCAAAATGATACTCCTTCCTTTCACAAAATCATGTTTACTATACTGAGTATGATGTGTAAACTGTTCTCTATGCTCAAAGCGTGTCATTGCTAACCTTTGAGAAGAAGAGCAGCTATATGTGCTTAGAGTAGAATACATATAGAAACAAAAACAAATACCTCATTTTATTAATAGACAATTCATATATTTTGTATTTAAAAACATGAAAAACGTGTGAAATCTTACCATGGCTTATGCGATGAAAGCAGTAGTATGCAAAGTCCACTCCCAAAAGTGTCAAATACCACGTCCATGGAGAGTCCCAGGGCAGTTCAAAGAGTCTGTAGTTATTCCATACATAGATGTAACTAATTAAGTCAACACTTCTGAATAAAACACTGAAATAGAGATTCAAAATGTTTTATCAATAATTTTGTCAATATTAATTTCAGAACCTTTTTACTATATATTGACTATTTTTCAGCTGGTAGTCTTTTTGTAACACACAAAATCAATGTCCCCATTCTGCAAACTTGTCAAGTAATACTACTATTTACTTCAGTGGAACCTTTGCTTAACGTCTACAAGGTTTCTAAATCAAACTTTCACCCACTCACCACCCACTAGGCATGCTCAAGGGCTGAAGCACTCCTGTGCTCTGCAGGTGCTATGGTGTTCCTATTTTCCCAAATCTGAAAGAAACTCATCCTTGCTAACTAACAAGTCAGAAGTGACTGAAGTGGAGCAGCAATTACGCTCAAACAGCAATGTAAGACATTAAAATACTTTGACTACTTCCATTATGAGGAAGGACAGGGAAGACAGGACTTTTGGGAGCAATAAAATATTCAATCTGATCAGCATATCACTTCACTTTAAAAGAGGATAAACGCAGCAGGAGGAGCTAAAGCCCAGTGCCTTTGAAAAGAAGAGAGAAATGGCAGGGTTGCCAGAAAAAGACAGAAGAAATTATGAATTTGCAAAGACAGGAAAGCCCACAGACAGCAGCTTTTGTTCCTTCTGAGGTCCTGGACTACAAGGACTGAGTAGCTATCCCTGACCTAACATAGACCAGAGCTAAGACCAGAAGGAGAAAGAAAGTAGCTTTGGGATGGGCAGGCCAAACCCAGTGGCAACTCTCCACAGCTGCTCAGGATAATGCAAATTTGAGTTGCCAGAGTCACACCCTTTCCTCAGTACCCCACCACCTCATTTCACTAATTGGGAGCCTGAGCCATGTCCAACAAATTGCTTTGGTTTTGCTGGGTGAGTTTTTGGATGGATCAGGAAGCTTTAAACACAGCAAATGAGAGCTCAGAAGCTGTAGGCACTGGGGTAGCCCAGGTGACAATTGGCTTAGGTAGCTGTGAAATGGTGCCTCAACTGCAGATTGATATATATTTAAACTGGCATTTTCCTAGAAGCAAATAGTCCGCAGCAGGATTTGCAGCAGCTTTTATACTTCCGGCATTAGCACCTCTTCCCATAAGTGTTTTGAATAAGGCTAGAAGAAAACACCTTGAGCTTCCGTGGTGCTACTTTCTCTATTAAAGAGGAACAAAGTCATCTGAAAATCCCAAATTCCCAATATTAGCCTGCAAGCATTATAGCATCACATCCACCACTTTATACTGAGAGCTGAAGCATTACAAGTTGTTGTTGCTCAGGAAGAAGAGAGCTAATACCTTTTCCACAGCCAGGCGCATCTCTTATCTGCAACTCATTCCTACCTTTCCTATAATCATATCCGTTTTTCTCTTGGATAAATACAACAAAAAATGGTGGAATTTCACTTCAGCAGCTCACACCCATGAAGAACGTCTCTTGACTAGCAAGGACAGGTGTGTCTGCAACTTCAAAAACAAATTGGCTATGCCCAGAAAGTGGACCATACGCACCTGGAACATGTTTAATTTTCATAAGAGCTGTGTTCTATAAATATTTTTAAAGAAGATTATATGTGTCCAACCAGATTTTTGCAATTCACCTCATGAGGAATCTGTAAAGTTCAGTATAAATTTTCAATTCCTTTCACAACAGGTCAGAAGGGAGCTGATATTATTCAAACACAAAGAAACGGGCATTTCCTAACATATTTTCAATGACCAGGAAATTTAAAACACCTCTTGCAACATAGAGTATCAGTTATTATTAGGTACTGTTTTCTTACTTTATTCTTTTGCTTTTATTAACACATAATGCCTTTGCAGTACATCCAAAGATATGTGACCTGGAAGGTTTCCTCCATTTTTGATCAGCTTTCAGTATTTCACCCTTGAGTCCTTTTTTTTTTTCCACAGGCTGAGGCCAAGGTGTAACACTTGAGCTAACCCTGCAACACATTTTTATATATATATAATTTGCTACACATTCTTTCCTTCATGCTTGAATAACAACTCTACAGCACATAACATTAGCTGATTACCATAATTAATTTAGAGTAGTTTATCATATTACTATGCAATTCTGGAGAAAGAAGAGTTGCTTAGCTAAGTATTTTTTAAAAATTTACAGTGTCACAGATAAGAAAGGCCAGAGCTTGCATTCAATTACAATTCTGGAAGTTCACTTGGAGTTTTAAAGGTTTATATTCCCCCTTTTTTCTCCCTCAAGTTCCTTTTTCACTTCTTGAAAATACTGAAGAGAACTTAAAGAATTTTTTCTTCATTTACATATTATAACCATAAATGTGACAGAAGTGGATAGGCAAGACTTTTTTCATCTAGTCCAATCCTCTGCATAAGGAGTAATAAATCCTAAAACAGACTGTATATAAAACCTTATTATATACATTCAATAGATTTATTTTCTTGGATTTTGAACATTGTTGCTGAAAATTTTCTTATTACACGCAAAGTGCACTTAGGCAACTGTTTTGACTTTGAGAGACAGTTCTCATCTCCTTGTTTCCAAAGTTCATACGTACTTTACTCAGTGTCGGTAATATTTGTTTTTAATAAATCATTTCCCCCTTCACCTTCCACTGGGTCAGATTATCACTTCCTCTAATTAAAAAAGTCCAAGAAGGAAATTCTGGGAGATGAACTCTCCATGTGGAAATAAAGATCTACTTATGGTAGACCCCTATGGGATAATGAAGGAGGGAAAAGGTGGAGGAAATTAATTGGAAAAAAAGAAAGCTGCCCATTTCAAAGAATATAAGGTCCTCTTTTGCTTCCTCCAACTCACAGATCAGCCATAGAGCCTGAAACCACACCTTTAGAAAACTTCTTCCGTGGTGCCCAGGATAGTTACCAAAAAGGAAAAGGGGCAGAGACAGGAGCTGTTGTCTCTCTTCCAAGAATGGAGGAAGATCTGTGGACCGAAAGTGAATACCCCAAGGAAACTGCCTCAGCTCTTACCACTTTTGCAGTCACCACCTCACGTCACACTGGGAACTGACCTGGTGCCCCTGAGCTAAAAACACAACCCTACAGCTGGACCTACAAAGGCTCTGCTCTCAAGGGCTGTAACAGACTTGCATCCTTGGAGGTCAGACACAGAGGGAAACATGTTAAGACACCCTGGTCATAAGGTTATATTATTATGAAAAATAGTGAGAGATTACTAATACAGTTTCCTTGGGTTAAATAAATTCTGTTTTCCTAGCCTGATTTGAACTATATGAATGTAAAGTTTCAAAATGTTGAACAAAGGCAGTTTCTCAATAATTTGAAATTATTCAGACCATTTATGTAACAGCAGGATACACGAATAATTAAATGCTCTGTAAGTCTTTGTTTCAGAGTGGAAAGCATAAGGATTTCCATTTCCAAGGATACTAATAGAGCTTTCTTTTCCAGATGAAAAACTGACTCCAGTCAAAATTGAAATAACCATTTTGATAACATGATTTCAGTAAAGAGGAGAAGGGGGGAAGGAGGTAGAGAAGCCTCGAGAAAAGGACCATTTGCAAAACAAAGCAAACCTGCAACTGAAATCCCCTTTTATTTCCTGTACAGGTGCCAGGTCTTGAACAGACACCCAATTTATTACTTTGTCAGTTGACTTATTAGGGTTGACACAAATCGAGCTGAAATATGCCTGACACACTGCAGTCAAGGCTTTTTTCACGCTTTAGCACAAAGCCAAACTTTCCACAAGGTGGAGGGAAAGGGAGAGGGAGCTGTGGGAGTTCTATTCCCTGTTTTCTATCATCAGGATGAATACGATCTCTTCTCCCATTCTGAATATGCAAAACCAGTCATGAAATAACCCAAGGCTAAAAAATAATTCACCAAAATGATACAGCTGGGAAATTATTATCAGGCTCTGGAAAGCCCTTGATTACAGGAAATAGCACCTACATTTTGAGAAAATGTTCCCACCAGACACAAGAGCTGAATCAAAGCCTCTCGTCTTCCTTAGTATGGCTTTCTTTTCCAGTATTTTAGCCTAAACAATACAAACCTCCAGTCTTCCTCAAGTAGAAAAGAAAATATCAAATGCAAAATGAAGTCAAATGCAGGTGATTCAGGTATCCCTACTAGTTTTATTTTGCCTGACCAAGCTGACCTTTCATTCACCAAAATTATTCCTGTTGCACTTGATTTTATATCCTTTAATTTATGATATTAATATTCATTTATAGTAGTAGGTGGAATAAAACATGAAATTACAGGTTTTGGAAGAAAAATAACAGAAGTCAGTGGTACATTTTTTTATTCCTAAGTCCAAGTCTTGCTACATAATTCAAGTCACTTGTTTATCTTTGTTAATTCATACATAAATAAGCAATCAATTAAAAATGCAGTACAACTTAAGTATTTTCATGAGAAGTTCCACTGCCTTTAGTGACACAATCCACAGTAACACATTATGCCCTAAGTTTATGCAATCTCTTTAGGTACTTCTAATGTCATTTTATCTTTACAAGATTAAAAATCCTAGTTTAAAACCTTCAGTACATCTGAGCTTCTGCCATTGCAGCTTACTCCTCCTCTTCTATGAGAATGGAAGTTATACCAGCACACTGGGCAGTCAATTCTGTTCCAGTAACTTCAGGATACACAATACTGGAAGATCCTACAATGTCATCTCCTGAAAGGCAATGGACCTGATTTGTACAAATATCACCATATGAGTGTCATACAACCACCTGGTTAGAACTTCTTTTCATTTGAGGTTTGATTTTGATCTGAAGTGAGAAAATTTGCATTAAAGTTTAATTGGGAACAAGCCTATAATATTCTCAAAGGTCACATATAAACAAGTAATGAGAAAAGAGAAAAGGGTATTCTATTGAACTCAGATTATCCTAGATAGATTCAGAAGAACTAAAGGAACCCGTAACAGTTCCTATGGTTTGTAAATGTACAATGAAATAGCTTCTGTGAGACATCATAGCATCTCAGATGGTGAAAGGAGGAAAAACATTTACATGAGAATTTATATTGAA